GCCGCTAGAGGCAGATGTTGCCTGCTGGGTCCCCGAAGGGAAACTGCGGGCTGCCGGGGAGAGAGAGGGGAATGGAAATTCCCCCGTTGGAGGCTTCCCATTCAGACACTCCAAAGGAGGCATCGGGGAGTTGAAAGCTGCCATCAATCCATGTGTGCAGAGCTGTGGAGCGGGATCATCTCGTGTCTGCCGTGGCCCAGAGGGAGAAACGCACTCCCAGCTGGGCTGTGTTACACAGAGCCAACCGGGCAGCAGAGCACGCTGAGCTCCTCTGCTCATTTCCTCACTGTCCCAGCTCCAACCCCTTCCCGTGCCTCTCGGAGCCCAAGCCGGGCTGCAACACGCCTGGGAACCGCTGCTCCCCTCGTTGCAGCCCGTCTGGCCCAGCAAACCTGCCGTGCTGGGCAGGAGCTGGAGCCGGGACCAGGCTCCCGCCTGGGCTACAGCAGTGCCGGTTCTGCCCCGCCCGGTGCCGCTCCCCGCTGCCCTCCCGCCGCACAGGTCACACATCCCCACGTTGCTGTCCTGGCGCAGGTGCCAGAAGAGGCAATCTCCAGCTGCCCTGCTCTCAAGGGCAGCATCTCCCTGCAGCTCGCTCACTTCCTCACTGAGCGCTGCCCATGGCACTGTTATAGATTCCTGTGACAAAACCAAAGTTTGATAAAGGAATAGCTTTATTTAATTAAGCAAGGCGGTAAAGTGAGCAAAACAGCGCTGGACGGCCGAGGAGAGCGTACACTCCACCAGGGTCGCGATTTGAACAAAGGATTGGCTCTGTACTTACACAGTTCTCATCTCCTGCATACATTCCAGCCATTCTTGCATTGATATAATTCTTATCTCCTGCATATGTTCCAGCGGCCACAGAGGTTGTTGCTTAGAAGAAAAAGGGGGAGATGGCAAGGAATGAAAGGCAGGGTGAGGTCAGCTGTACAAAATCCTTTGCAGGAAAACAAAGACGTGAAGAGCATTTGCCCTGATACTGCTGCAAGTCCAGCTTTTACTGCGGAGGTGACAGGCATCTGTGCTGTTGTTTATCTGCAGTGAGGAATGTCATGCTGCCTTTTTTTAAACACCCATTTACTCTTTCACAAAAGAACATCAACTTCTGATACTCGTTCTGCAAACTGGGGAAGAGTAACCTGCAGAATGCTGACTGCTGCAGAGGACAAGTTGGAAGACAGCTGCTCCTAAGAAACATACAGACAGATTAACTTTATTATGTTACAATACAGAGCTCTTACTTTATGGAACAGGCAAATCAGAATGTGTAATAAAAACCTGGAGCTGTATACCAATAATTTAAGGGCACTGTATCTGTTGGAACGTCCCTTGAGAATCTGAAGGAATTCTGAACCTCTGACTTATAAAACCAGTTATTTGCCAGCCAGTAAGAAGATGAATTTTTTGCGGTTCAACTGAAGCTTCCTATTTAGCATACACTTACTTACCAGGTTCAGATAATAAAAAAAAACCAAACATCTAAGGATCTAGTCCTGTGTTCCTGTTAGCACTTCGTGCCTGCAACTACCACAAGAGGTCAGGAAATGAAGCAGGCACAGGATGAAGGTCTCTCTGGAGAAAATCAGACAAGCAAAGGAACTTCAAAAGCACATTTCACTTTTAAGAAGGAGAACAGAGATACCTAGGCTGTTATGCTACTGCAGAAAAGCAAAAACAGGCTGAGAAGCATCGATGCAAGCACACCAAGTCCCACAGATTCCCTACCTTGTCTGGTGCCACATAACAACATCGGTCCGTTAAAGCAATCGGGGGCCAGACGTGTTTGCTGAACAAAGAGCACGCAAATCCCAAGGCTGGGATTCACCCATCAGCTCAATTCTGAGGCTCCTCTCTTCAGCTTCTCTCATCAGCCACCGCTCACAGCCTCAGCAGCCGCTCTCGCCGTTCCCGCAGGCACACGGGAGGTCTCGGTGCCACCTGGGAAGGAAGCAGACGTCGGAAAGACATCCTAAAGCTCTGTGCATCGCTCACCGCCACAGCGTGTGGGCATCCGCCGGCCCCGCTCACCCCGCTGCCGCCGATCCCGGCCCTGCGGCGCCGTCCCGTACGTGAGCGGCACCGACCCCGGGAGCCCCCGGACCCCACCGAGACCCGACCGCACGGCACAGCCAGGAGGAGCGGACAAACCCGGCCGGTCGCCCGGGACCCCGCCGTCACCACGGCCCGCCGCCCGCCACGTGACCGCGCGACCCGGCCGTCACCCGGGCAGGGCGGCCGCGGGGTGAAGCTGGCGGCCGCCATTTTGAGAAAGGGCACGGCGAGCCCCGAGCGGCGGGGAGGCGCTGAAGAGCGGGTGAAGCCGTCGAGGAGCCACGTTGGCTGTGGGAATGCGGCCGGCCGGAGCTTCCGGCGTTCTAACGCTTCGAATTCGGTAATTGGTAAATGCTTCGTTTGCGTGTGTTGCGCACGTACAGTTAGGTCGAGAGTCCTCGGCGCTGAGGGGTGCGGTGTTCCTGTAATAAAGAAAAATGCAGCGAAGGCAAAGCGGCGGCAAGCGTATTTCTCAACTCGGGCAGCGGCACGTCGCGCTGCTGGCAGGCGCTGCTTCGGCTCGGGCGGTGCCGTTCCGCGTGGCACAGACGGGGCGAGAGAAGACTCACAGGTGCCGCTGCACGAAATCGTAGCTCGGTTCGGTACCGCCGCGCCGTCGTTGGACAAAGGGCTCCGTGCTGCGAGTGCTGCGGCAGCTCGGGCGCACCGAGCGTCAGCTGGGCATTGCACGCAGCCTGCGGAGCGCA